CTCTGGGTGTTATAAAGATTTTGCATGTGAAATTTTTAAATTTTCTAATGCATAAAAGTATCTTTAATGTTAAAAAGAAAATTACTTTGCATGTTGGATAGGCAACATGTAAAAAAGAAAAATGGCATGAGAAAAACATTGTTTAACAAACCTTAAGACTTAATAAAAAAAAATTGATAATTTGCATATAAAAGCCTAGTAATGTTTACTGATAATCTGCCAGATTTTGTGAACATATGCTTACTAATTTAAGTTATAGCATGAAAACTATAACAAGCACAAAATGGTTACGAGGTTGGTTCCAGGAACTGAGCCCATGCTGAACGAGTTAAAAAACAAACCCCCAAAGCCATATAATTAATAAAATTCATTCCATCATTCATCCACAACATCTGAAGGCAACCCATTCCAAAGGCCAACTAACCTGTTAGAAAAATGAAACTGTCTTGGCTGAAGATGACTCCTACCTTGCCAAAATTTATATTTGTGCCCCTAGTCCTATCATTAAGTATGAAAAATATAAGATGATGCACCAACACGAACAATTCCCTTAACAATCTTAAACACCTTAATCAGATCCCCTCTAACTCTTCTTTTTGTAGAGAAAACAATTTCAGAGATATTAACCTCTCCTTGTATGACAACCTTTCCATCCCAGGTACCATTCTAGTAGTCTTTCTCTGAACCCTTTCCAACAGTTCAATGTCTTTTCTTAGGTAAGGAGCCCAAGATTGAACACAATACTCTAAATGTAGCCTAACTAGTGACCCATACAATGAAGTTATATCCTCTTTAGACTTGTATTCAGTATTTCTGTAGATATAACCTTCAATCCTTTTTGCCCTAACATTAGCAATAGTACACTGTTTGGATGGCTTAAAAGATTGATCTATTAAACCAAGATTCTTTTCTTCCATAACACTGTTATTACCCTCCAGATTATACTTATAATTAAAATGATGATAAGCCACATACATTATCTTGCATTATAATTAGAATCCATCTGCTATTTATTTGCCCAACTCACTAAATGATCTAAATAATTTTGTAAAACAGCAGCATCCTCTTCACAGCTAGCAACACCCAAGACCTTAATATCATCTGCAAATTTAGGTAATTTATTGACCATTCTTTCAACTATGTCATTTATGTAAATCAAAAAGAGCAAAGGTCCTAAGACTGAGCACTGAGGTACCCCACTTGTGACATTAATTCAGTCTGACTGAACTTCATTTATAACAACCCTCTGCTTTCTTCCATCTAGCTACTCTTCTACACAATTAGTTAACTTATCCAGAGATAATTTTTTTACAAGCCTTTTATGTGGCACCTTGTCAAATGCTTTCTGAAAATTCAGATACACCAAATATACACCCTTACCCTCATTTACGTAAGCAGTAACCTTTTCAAAGAAAGTCAAAAGATTTGTAAGGCAAGATTTTCCCCTTCGTGAAACCATGTTGACTATCCAATAAAATTCTAAACTTTGTTAAATGACTTTACAAAGCATCTTTTAACAAATTTTCCACAATTTTTCCCACAAGTGATGTAAGACTAATGGGTCAATAATTACTGGGACAATTTTTATCACATCCCTTGAAATGATGAGTTACATTAGCTAACTTCCAGTCCTCTGGTACTTGCCCACTATTCAAGGACTGACAAAAAATAGTAGTAAGTGACTTACATATCCAATCTTTAACCTTCTTCAAAACCCTTGAGGAAATATTATCTGGCACAGGAGCCTTATCATTTTTAAACTTCTCAAATTTTTCTTAACCAGCTCAGAATTAATGCAGTAATCTTGTTTGATCTCATTTCCATTTATTAACTGTTCATTGGTTAAAACTGAAGAAAAAGCAGAATTTAATAACCCAACCATCAGATACAAACCTTATTATCTCTCAAAGGTCCTACACCCATTCTAACATTTTGTTTACCTTTAATGTATTTAAAGAAATCCTTACTGTTAATTTCGACATTTTCAGCCAATATTTTTTTTCATACTTACTAATTTTCTGTTTTACTAACTTCCTTGATGTTCTATAATCTTCCAAGTTTCCCATCATACCAGGTAATTTAAATTTCTTAAAGTTGTGATGCTTTTCCTTAATTTTATCTCTTATACCCTTTGTGAAAACAGTATTCACGTGTCACAAGTTGTTCCCATTGGAACAGCAAAAAATTTACAGAATTACAATGCTAAAATCTATGGCTAAATACCCAGTGGTGAACAGAACACAGCAGCCCATTGTGGAGCTTTGCTGTAAAACATAACAAATCAAAATTGAAATTGGTTTGAAATAGACCAGATTAAAGTGATACAAAATCAATGATCCAGAAGTATCACTTTCTAGTTGATTTTTATGGTAAAATTTAAGCTGGAAGGAGGGAGAGTTTCATTGATATTCGAGACAAACTTACACAAATCGTACTAACTGGCTTGTTGAATAGGTTGTATATAAGAAAACAATTATAGAGTTGATTACACTGTGGATTATAGGACAAAGCATGGCTTGTCTACCTTACCCAAAAAGTGGAATTACGATGAATAAAGTGAAATATTTGCTCTGATATCTCTTACTGGGTCAGAATGTTATGTTTTATCCCATTTATTAACAAAAACAAATCTGATTTCTGCACCATTGAAGTTATGATTGACTTTGATGATAGTCATATTTCTTTCATAAATTAGTCAATATATTAAGAAATTTCTTCTGACAAATTCTGATGTTTTTTAATGTAATACAGATTTCAACAAGATGGCAACATTATGAAGACTATTCATCTCCAGAAGGCTGAAACAGTTGATCTTACAAGTCCTAAAGGTCAGTCAGTAGTAGAAGTTAATCTTGGTATGTCTAACACTTGTCGTTGTAGGTCTTAACTATAAGAATACTTAATTTTGTGTAAGGTCAGTCAGTAGTAGAAGTTAATCTTGGTGTGTCGAACACTTGTTGTTGTAGGTCTTAACTATAAGAATACATAGTTTTGTGTAAGGTCAGTCAGTAGTAGAAGTTAATCTTGGTATGTCGAACACTTGTCGTTGTAGGTCTTAACTATAAGAATACTTAATTTTGTTTAAGGTCAGTAATTTGTAGAAGTAAATCTTGGTATGCCGAACACTTGTCGTTGTAGGTCTTAACTATAAGAACACTTAATTTTGTTTATGGTCAGTCAGTTGTAGAAGTTAATCTTGGTATGTCGAACACTTGTCGTTGTAGGTCTTAACTATAAGAATATTTAATTTTGTTTAAGGTCGTCCAGTAGTAGAAGTTAATCTGGATATGTCGAACACTTGTTGTTGTAGGTCTTAACTATAAGAATACTTAATTTTGTGTAAGGTCAGTCAGTAGTAGAAGTTAATCTTGGTATGTCGAACACTTGTCGTTGTAGGTCTTAACTATAAGAGTACTTAATTTTGTGTAAGGTCAGTCATTTGTAGAAGTTAATCTTGGTATGTCGAACATTTGTCGTTGTAGGTCTTAACTTTAAGAATACTTTATTTTGTTTAAGGTCAGTCAGTAGTAGAAGTTAATCTTGGTGTGTCGAACACTTGTCGTTGTAGGTCTTCAGTTTAAGCTTACTTAATTTTGTTTAAGGTCAGTCAGTAGTAGAAGTTAATCTTGGTGTGTCGAACACTTGTCGTTGTAGGTCTTAACATAAGAATACTTAATTTTGTGTAAGGTCAGTCAGTAGTAGAAGTTAATCTTGGTGTGTCGAACA